AAATGGGCATGTTGGGTTTTGTGGGTCCCAGAGATGATCTGTTTCCTCCCACTGCTTTTTACTCTGCTGCAGTGGCTATGGGAGCTCCGGTGGCTCAAGTGGTTAAGACGCTGAACTGCAGGCTGTGGAAGGTCAGTAGTTCAGCAGTTCGAGACCTGAGTGTGCCGCATGACAGAGTGAGCTCCCGTCTCTAGTTCCAGCTCCTGCCAACCTAGCAGTTCGAAAGCAAGAAACTGCAAGTAGATAAATAGGTACCACTTCAGTGGGAAGGTAACAGCGTTCCATGCGCCTTGGTGTTTAGTCATGCCGGCCACATAACCACGGAACTGTCTTCGGACAGCGCTGGCTCTTCGGCTTTGAAATGGAGATGAGCACCGCAACCCTAGAGTCTGATTCGACTGGCTTTCGAGCAAGGGAACCTTTACCTTTTATTGCATTCCACAGTCCGTTTCCCTGCACTTCCTCAACTGAAATTCCTCCAGGGAAGAAAAGGAGGCCATTTGCCAATGGGATTGTGTGTACTTTGGGGGGGGAAGCACCAAGAAAAGAAGAATTCTGCAGCCTGTATGTACCACATGCATACTCCCTCCTCTGGTGCACTGTTTACTGCTTTGCAAAATGTAGTTATGGGGCAGCCGTCACTAGATGCCAATGCCTTTCCCCGCTTCCCCAACCCTTGGAAATCTTAATCATCACCACCTCTGTTTTTTGAGCATTCGCCAGGCACAGCCCATGCACATTCTGGGCATATTTTGCAGCCAAAAGAGCAAGAACTTTTCATTATTCCTGTGACTATTTGGATGTTGAATTCTGCAAAATTCAGCAACCAGACAGTCATTGAATTAAGGAAAAGTTCTTGCTAGGTGGCATGGCATTTCTGCCTTTGCCCAGGCTCAGGGCCTATACCTCTGCTCCAGTTAGAGGCTGCCTCTTTTACAAAATTTAAACTTCTTGGCATTGAGCAGTAAGTTGACACAGGCTGGCAACCCAGCCCTCTGGGTGCCCAGCAGAGGTGGGCTGCTGCTTTGGTATTTGCTGGAGAATCAAGGACATATGACAGGGAGGAGATGGGGAGCCGTGTGTATTAATTCCGATGTCTGCCTGTTTGTGTGTCAAATGGGAAGGGTGTGTGTGTGTGTGTGTGTCTGTGTGTGTATCTGTCTTTAACAAAAAAAATTGTACCTTCCCCAGTTCCTGTACCATGTAGCTTCCTGGGTACTTTTACTGCTCTGGCAAAGCGTTCTTCTGGGGCGAAGGCCCTTGTACCCAGTACTATCCTGTCCTCTACTTGACACAGCAGACTTAAGTTTGGGCTACTTCAGTCTGCATCTTGTTCTAAGCAATTACTTGTAAATCCTGGTTCTTTGGCGGAGTCGTTTCTTGTGCGTGTGATCTGGATGCTACCAAATGACTTCGGAAAGAGAGCTCGATTTCTTGGGAGGGTCCTTTTCTCTTTCTGATGTCTCTAGCCAAGGTGCCTCAATAAACCATGGACAAACTGCAATTTGCTGTAAGGGTGGAGTCTGCCTTGGGAAAAGGAGACAGTGTGGGCCATTGTCTTTTGTGGCTGTGATGCGGTGAACTGGAAATCTCTCTGTGTGAAAGCAGCAAAGAGAGTCTTCAGCATTTGACTTCTGTAGGCCGGACGGCACAGAAGTAGCGATGACCCAAATTCTTTAATCTTAATGCAAGGCTACTTTTAATCTTAATGCAAGGCTAATTTTAGCAGCATTGGAGGTGAGCTGAAGACAGTCACTCAGCCTGCATCCCGGTTCCTCTAGGACAGAGGTGGGCAAATGGCCTGCAGCACTTTTCCTCCAGCTCCAAGCCACTGAATATGTTCCTGGAAGCATCAGACTGGAGCATTAGCTAGTGGCTGAGGCGGCCCCGTCTCCCAAACAGTAAAACATTTCCAGGGCCGTTAACAGTGGTAGAGTTGGACAGAGGGCCAGATTTGGGTCTCTGCCCGTTTTTGAGGACTCCTGAGTTAGAACCCAGATTCCCTTTTCTCCATCACCAGCATCTGCCAGTGCTGGAAACAGGAAGACAGTGCATCCAACTCGGAGTCCTCAAAAGCGGGCAGACACCCAGCTGAAACCCTCTTGCCAAAAAACACTCATCCCACCCATTGTAGGCAGTGATTTCTCAGCAGCTCCGAAAATCTGGGTGTCTCAGAGAGGTTCCGTTTAACGTTTTGTGAACAGCGAGCCTGCCATTCAAAGCCATGTGGATTGAGCTCGTTTGTGGAATGAATGCGCATTTCAGCGGCTGTGCAATGCAGCTCGAGTTAATGGCATTTGCATGGGGGGAAAGCTTCTACCAGCGCAGGTGGTTGATCTTCCGAAACAAGATCTTGTGAAGCTGCCTTTCGCAGAGTCAGACGAGTTGTCCATCCAGTCCAGTATTTTCTGCTCTGGTTGGCAGCTTCTTATTAGGGTCCCTCTCAGCTCTGCAGCTGGGGGAGGGGGGCGAGATGGCACCCTCCAAAGCAGCCATTTCCCACTGTAACTATGCAGTCGAGGGGGGGTCAGCCCGCCCACCACCTCCCCTGATTTCAAGCCACCTGAATTCTTTCAAAGGGCCATTATTGTCGCAGCTAGCCAAGCGTTCCTTGCTAGACACAACTAAATGGGTCTTTCGAGTGGAAAGGAGGTTGGTGTAAGGAAATTTCATACACTGCCATTCAACCAGGTGAGCATAAATATAAAAAAACCCAACAGTATTAAAGCATCATCCTAGATATGATGCCCTGACTGGGATGGGATAGCCCAGGCTAGCCTGACCTCGTCAGATATCAGTATCTAAGCAGGGTCTACCCGGGTTAATACTTGGATGGGAGACCACCAAGGAAGTCCAGGGTTGCAACACAGAGGCAGGCCATGGCAAATGACCTCTGAGTGTCTCTTGCCTTGGAAACCCTACAAGGGCTGCGGGCACACGGAGCATTAGCAACGCTGCAGAGACGGAAGATAGGCGGATTTTCCAGGCGCTATCACACCATAACATCTGGGAAGCGTAGAGCTCCCGTGGCGGACCCGAAGCTTCCCGCCGAAGATGCGGCGTAAAAAACTAGTATCTCCGAGGTACTAGTTTCCGGAAACTGCGGGGCAAGGGCGGCCATCTGATCGCGTTTTTGGTGGTGGCATCTGGTGCCCGCCCATGTCCCTTCGAAAACAGGGGTTTTTTGTTCCCAAGTCTCCATAAGATGCGCACAAGCACCCAATGGCGCATGCGCACAAAGAGGAAAGCAAAAGTGCCATTTCAGCATGAAAAAAACCACAAATGATCCCGTTTGTCACGGCAGTGGCGCCTAGCCATTGCTGGTGTGATCGCGCCGTGCCGCTTCTTTGCCACGCTGCAGGATCGTCGTGTGATCGCCACCAATGTTTACCTGCCAGCACCAAGGGAAGGACCCGTGGTGTGTCGCCGGCGCGTCTGATCGCGTAATCGCGGATCAAACTGCGCCAAGGCAATTAGCCACGCCTCCCCCTCGCAATATCCGGCCCGTGTGACCGAGGCCAAGATCGCCCTAAATTGGCTGCGACTTTCCGCCACTCCCTAGATATGATCGGATTCTAGTTTTAGATACAGGATCAGGCTCACGAAGGCCGAATTGCCTGTTAAGCCTCACTTCCTCCTTACATGGCTTGACTCTCTTGTTCGAGACACCTACATTTGTTTCCTGGGATGGCCAGTGCTTGCCACATCTCATGGGGTGGGTGGCTGGAAACAACTGCCAGTAGTTGTGGGTGACGGGGAGGAGAGGCATTGTTGCCTCACCTGGCCGGGCGCTCCTCCCCAAGTCTGGCAGAATAAATTGTCCAAAATATTAACAGATCGCAAAACAATCCCAGGGGAGAGAAAAGGGTGCAGATTTGCTCAGGTGGCCCGCTTCATGCAGGGTGCAGAGGGCAGCTTTTCTTGGTGCTTCGTTTGTCTTGGGTGGGGACAGAATTGGTTTGCTTTCTTTTTTTGTAAGTTGGCCCTTTTTCCACTCTCTTCCCCCCATTCATCACTGAGACAGTTTCTATTTCCTGGGGGACATGCAGTGACTCTTCTTGCATATGGCTGGGTCTGTTTGCTTTGTTCCGTGCTGAGCTAAGAGGCGAACCTTGACTCTCAAAGCTCTCTGAAGCAGCCACCTGAGACTAACACTGAGTCCGTTTCCTCCCTCTACTCGCTCCCTTTTTGAGAGTAATTAAAAATATTTAAAGTATTTTCTTTTTGTATACATTGATGATATTTTTTCCCCTTTTCTCAAATAAAAAAAAGACACCAGGCTTATATATGGGTGATTCTCTCCCCCCCCCCGGTTTTTTAAAAGAACTGTTTACAGAATGAAGATCAGAGAAACTTGGATTATGACAAGGGCCCTAGAAGGAGATGGAATGCCACGCGGGTGAACAGCTTGTAACGCCTCTTCTGTCGGTCACAATCTCATTCATGTAACTTTCTACGGATTACACCAGTGATTCCAAAAGCTGACAGAGAATACTTGCTGCATCTCTGCGCGAGTCATGGTTCTGCAGTTGTTTATGAAACACTGTAAAACACAGTTCTGGGCTTCTCTGAAGTTTGGGTAATGTGTGGGGTGGGTCAAATGGCAAGAGAAGCTTCTCTTTCCCTCCCTTAATACTAGAACTTGGGGCCACCCGAGGAAGTTTCCCTTAAGACAGACCAGAGGAAGTACTGCTTTGCACCATGGCAAGTAGACTTTGGGAACTCCCTGCCACAAGATGGGTGGATGGCCACTGGCTTAGATGGATCTAAAAGGGGGTGGGAGGGACAGGTCTGTTGCTTGCTATTAGACAGGAGATAGCTGAATGGGACCTCCGGAATGCCTCTGCTTGTCAGACGTTGGGGAGCAGGCGGCAGGAGAGAGCTGTTGGCAGCACAGCCCTGTCTGTGGCTCTTCCGTGGGCCATCTGGCTGGCCACTGTTGATGGTCAGAAGCAGCAGGGCTCCTCCGGCCGTCGTATGAGTCTGGGTGTTTCTTTCTCTTGCACGCACTAAAAATAGACCCTTTTTGAGAGCTGCTACAAAGTGCACCTCTTTCAGCACACAGAGGTGTGAAAAAATCGGTGTGTTCCTGCTGTTCTGAGAAACCGCCTAGAGCAAAATGTGCTAAGAAGGGGCTGGTGCTGATTTGTGCCTCCTGGCGGCCGCAGTCTGAGACAAGATTAAAAGGAGGCAGTCTCTCCTCCTCAGATCAAACGCTGGGCCAGGAGGATCCTGGGCTCCGATTGCACGCTTTTCTTCTAAAGTGATTCCGAAACTTGTGCTTTCCCCCCTGGATTAATATGGGAGGCCCATTTCACAAGCGATAAATTTTACTTCTAGAGCATGAGGGATATGAGTTTCCCATCTTTAGAGGAGCCTACCGCCTGACTGGAGAGAGGCAAGCCAACAGCAGAGACTCTGGCAGAGATGCAACAGGCAGCCTCCACTAAGTCATTTCTGCCACAGGATGGCCAGCCACTGGCAAAATTCGTTGGGATGGAAGCCAGGCCAGAGCATTGGAACATGCAGAGAAGCACGGGCACCCTCCTCTGTGAATGGGTGCTTTTGTCTTATGGAAGCTTTAAATTGTTCTTTGAATCCCTCCCCCCCCAGACATTAGCAGCTGTCTCATGGCACACTGATATGCCCCATTACACAGTTTGCTTCTATAGAGAGTGTATTGGGAAACTGACTTCTACGGATGCAGCTATTTTATATCACCAGGTGACATGCTTCCCTGCAAGGCATGGCAAAAACAATTCCTCCCTCCCTGATACAAGTGTAGCCAATGCCCGGGAGAAGTGGTAAACAGGAAAATAAAACCATGATATAATAACAATATCTTTGTATTATCAAAGCTTAATACAACTTAGTGCAGTTTGGTGTAGTGGTTAAGTGCATGGACCCTAATCTGGGAGAACCGGGTTTGATGCCCCATGTTTCCGCTTGCAGCTGCTGGATGACCTTGGGCAAGCCATAGTTCTGTCAGAGCTGTTCTCTCAAGGACAGTTCTGGAAAGAGCTCTCTCAGCCGCATCTACCTCGTGGGGTATCTGTTGTGGGGAGGGGATGGGAAAGGAGTTTGTAAGCCGCTCTGAGACTCTGAGTGAAGAGCGGGGTATAAATCCAATCTCTTCTTCAACTCCTTCACCTTTTCACAATCAACAGAAGTTTCTCCTTACAAACATTCCACCAAATTTCTAAGGATGAATACATGCCAATAGATACATTAATGCAAACAGTCCTATTTTGTGGTTTGTTTTTCTTTTCTTTTTCTCTCCCGCCTTCTATTTGTACATAGCATCGTAATGTAAAACTGCAACACGGAAGAGAAAAACAAAACGGGCCACAAAATAGGACTGTTTGCATTAATGTATCTGTTGGCATGTATTCATCCTTAGAAGTTTGCAAAATGTTTATAAATAGAAACCTCTGTTGACTGTGAAAAGGTGATGGGAGTTGCACTAAGCTTTGGCAATACAAAGATACAGTTATAACATCACGGTTGTATTTTCCTGTTTACCATTCCAACCCGTGATCTCTCTTGCTTTTAATGCCCAGGAGAAAGCAGGCAGAGGAGCTACTCATATTGACCAACTACATGGACAGCAGGGCTCCCTGTGCAGATGCTAACGAGCCAGAGGTAGCTCTGTAGCTCACTGGAAGCAGGGGTTAGTTCGCACTGGTGCGAGGGCAAGATACACGAGGTCTATTGGACAAAAAAAAAGCGCACACCCCAGCTTTCATCCCCCCCCCCCCAACCTTTAAAGAAAGTTTCTAGCCCATACTGAGCTTGCAAGTGTATGGGCAACACTCAGAAGCCAGAAGAATTTCTGAATAAGATTTCCAGCGATTCCTAGTAGGGCCACGCCTGGCTGTTTACACCTCTCTGTGTCCAGTAGGAAAAGCTTCTACAAAAGAAATCTTGCCAACGTCCACAATTTAGATGGGTTGCAGGATCTGGGCTAACCTTCGTGCCTAATTATTTCAATTGCCGCTGCTGTTTAGCGCCCAGCCCTGCTGCCAGTCCTCTGCAGGGTTAATGAATGCTGTGTGTGTCCGACGCTGGAGCTGTTTCGCCGCCTGACCTGCTGCCGCCGCCGCCCATGGGGGGACTGCCTCCTCGGCCTTTTGGCTGGCTCTTGCAACAGTCTTTGCTCTTCAGCAGCGGATCTTCGGCGGGCAGGTTGAGAGCGTGGCTTTCTGTCCTGGATTCCGAGGGCCTCTCTCGGCCTTCAGCGGCTTCGTTGCTCAGGTCGGTCCTTGGAAAGAAAGAAGAGGGGAAAGAGCATCGTCTCACAGTGACGGACAGCGGGACTGCAGAGGAAGCACGTGGTGCTGTTGTCTGGACAGGCCGCATATGGGTTTAAACATGATGCACTGAAGGAGCAGAAATGGCCCCACAGTGGCACGCTGGCTCCTCGCTTTCCCCCTGTCTTCCCAGGAAGGAGAAGGGGGACCCCTCGGTCAAAGGAAGTCTCCTTGCTCGACAGAAGAAGTTGCAAGGGGGTAAATCAGCACATCACAGCACCCCATTCTTTTCAGCTTGTGGGGACAGTTGTGGGGAAGGGGGAACCTTGGGATTTCTAACGGGGTCTCCCAAGCATGCCGGCTTTCTGTGTGTGCAGCTGTGACATGCCAGCAGACCTGCAAGTGGACCCGCCCCCCTCCTGCACATGGGCAGGTATCTTTTGGAGGAGAGTTTCGCTCTGCTGCCTTTACACCCAGGGGAAACACCCTGGGGTTCAAACAAGCTCTTTCCTACCGAAAGCTGATACAATACCTGTGCAGGACATCACCGGTCCCCGTCATGCTGTCATCATATATGTTCGGCAGGTTCCAAGCCTGGCTGTCCTTCTCCTTTGCTTCCTGCAACCTGAACATCCAGGGACAGGTAGGTAAGTAAAGCAGGAGGCTTTGGCAGGTGGGCAACTGAGACAGAGGAAGCGGCTTCCTTCCCCGCTTCCATGCCTAATAGGCCTGGAATGGAAAGTGTCGAGTCGTATGGCAAACGGTTCAATCTGTCTTTTGGGCGAATAACCGGGGTCCCCTCCTCTCCTCCCCCCACCCCGAAGTCGATGCCAGAGCATGGGAGGTTGGTTTCTTGCTTGCCTACCTGGGCTCCAGCCGTTCCTTCACCTTGGCGATGGAGCGGACGTAGGGGGCGATCTGCTTGGTGATGGTGGTCAGGTAGCTGTTCTCGTGTTTCAGCTGCAGGAGGTCATGCAGTTGGGCTAGACATGGGAGCAGGGTGTTATCAGTCGGGCCAGACGAGGGAGGAGAGAGCAGGGTGTTATCAGTCGGGCCAAGAGCTTTGCAATTGGGGTGTGCTGCTGACCTGGATATAAGCCAGCCTGGGATAATGGTCAGAGTGTCAGGCTGGGAGCCGGGAGTCCCAATGATGGAATTTCTACTCTGCCACGGAAGCTCACTGAATAACCCAGCGTTCCCTCTAAGCTGAGTTAGTGTGAGCTAGCTCACAGTTTTTTAGCCTCCGGATCACACATTTTTTCTTTAGCTCAGGAAGGAGGGCTCCAGAGCAAACCGATGTATGCGGTAGGCCGGTAGCCAAATTGCTCACCCACAACTTACATGCCAGTAGCTCAGAAAGAGGAATTTTTGCTCACAAGACTCCACAGCTTAAAGGGAGCATTGCCTTTGACCCAATCACTCTTTATTTATTTACTTCATCTGTACCCCAGCTTCCCCCCCAAGAGGGACCCAAAGCGGCTTACATCCTTCCCCTCTTCTCTATTTTATCCTCACGACAACCCTGTGAGGTTGGTTATGCTGAGAGTGTGGGACTGGCCCAAAGTCACCCAGCAAGCTTCCACGGCAGAGTATGGATTCAAACCTGGGTTTCCCAGATCTGACATTTTAATCACGATGCCATGCTGGCTCATTCACACACACACACCTCCACCGCAATTTGTGCCCTCACAATCACTCACATCTTGACCACAGTTTCCCCCCACTCCATGGCACTACCAAATATTACAAGCTCAGAAGTGCCTTGCCATCGCCTTCCTCTGCATAGCAACCCCCAGACTTCCTGGGTGGCCTCCCATCCAAGTACTGACGGCCGACCCTTCGCTTCCAAGCTGCGAGGAGATCAGGCTAGGCAGGGCTGTTAAATAAGCAACCAGAAAGTAAGTCTTGTTGTCCCCGTCCCATGGGTGTATTCAGGGGTGGTTTCGTAGAAAAAGAGCTAGGGGAACTCATTAGCATACCTCATTAGCATATGCCACACCCCTGACATCACCGGAAGTGTGTCATAAGGCCACACACCCTGACATCACGGGGAGTGTGTCATAAGGCCACACACCCTGCCTCCAGCGGTCCCGGCCGCCAGCGGCAGCCTTGCAGCTCCACTGCCAAGCCCCATGAGGGGCCCAGCGGTGGACCTGCAAGGCCGGCGGGAGTGCAAGGAAGCCCCGCAAAGGCCCTCCCTGGCCCCAGGCAGGCAGGGGTGGGGAGAGGCAGGGAGGAAGCAACTTACCCTCCCTCTTCTCCTGCCTCCTCCTGGCTGAATGAGGGCCGGAAGCAGGGGGCGGGGCTTCGTCATGTGCCCCGCCCCCCGTACCTCACCTGTGGGAACTGCGATCCCCCGTGTTCCCCCCTGAAATGACCTCTGGGTGTATTTATCCAAGCTATACTTTGCCTGCCATGAGGTAGAATTCTGGATTGTGCCCCTTCGATTTCACAGTGGGCGGAGAGAGGGCCCATACTGTCGAATGCTCCCCTCCAATATGATTTTTGTTTTACAAGAGTCACGGCGTTAGTCCACTGGAGAAAAAAAAATAGCAAAGGGGATTGTGGCACATGAAAGAAAGCCAGGCGTTATTGTTTGAGCAACACCAGAGGAGCATTGAAGATTTCACGTGGAGCAGAAGATCTGAAAGCTCCGTGTGTCGAGTCTTTAAGACGCCGCAAGCCTCTTTGCTCCTTTCCTTGCATTTGTTCCTTTCCTTGCATCCTTGCAAAAGCACCTCAGGCCTGTCATCGACAGGTCGCCGGGCTACTGTTGGAGTCAGGGAAATGGCTCCGGTGAAATGATTGGCAGCACGTATTGCGGCCTTTTGATCGGGCTAAAATATCCATTGTAGGTGCCTCGTTCAGTGCTGTGTGAACTCTGGTGAATTATCCATCCTGTCCTTCTTTGGCACCAGAGGTTCCTGCTTTGTTTCCTGATGAATGAAGTAAGGTAGCACTAGGGTCAGGGGATTGTCTGTGCTCTACTGTCTGGTCTTGGTTTTTGGAAGGAGGTCGTTTTGCCCAGCTGCTCTCCTAGCAGGGAAGTGAACTCCAGTTTGCTGTTTTGTATTTGCAGAGACTGCAGCTGCCTTAAGCACAAAATGCCTGGGACTGTCAGAGTGATCCTTCAGGGAGCGCTATGCTCACCAGAGTAAGAGGGGAAGCACCAATAAAAGATTAGAGTCCACGGGGGAAGAAAACCCCCAGATGTTGCACTTACCTTCATAAATCTCTTGTTCGTTTGCCACTCGCTGGTATGTTTCTTCCCATGACTGTAAGACAAGGTTAGAGTCATCCACACACAGGGTATGTATGTATTATGGTTCTACAGGTGTGCAGAAAAGCTATAATATGTGACCTCCTGAGAATCTTCTTTCATATGGGGGAACTAAAATGCCAAGTTCCTCGCCTTTAAGGTGCCCAAGGAATTCTAGAAACAATGCGGGCAATGCCTGCTAGATCTCTGAGGCCAAGATAATTGCCAAGTAAGATTTCTAGGGAGCAGGGTGAAGATGAGATGGAAGGCAACAGTGCTCCACCCCTCAGTTCCACTCGGCCAGGGGCCATTTCGTAAAAAAAGAGTTGCAGGAGCTCATGCGCACAACTCATTAGCATGACTTATTTGCATTTGCATATGCCACACCCCCTGATATCACCGGACGTGTGTCAGTAGGCAACACCCACCACTCAGGCTCCACTGGACTCTTTTGGATTGCTAGCTATTGGGGAGGGGAGGAGAACGTGCAGATCTGTCCTCGCAGAGGAGGGAGAGCTTGTACCTGAATAAAACTTGGTCTTGAAGGTGCCACTGGGCTGTTTTGGACCAGGGGGCAGGGGGGGGGTCTGCAACTTACTTGGCTGCTTCTTGCTCTGACTGAGGGCTGCTGGGAGCAGGGGGTGGGGCTTGTTGCATGTGCCCGCCCCCTGGGCTCTTTACTGCCGGAGCTCCGCTCCTGTGCGCTCCTACAGGAAATTACCCCTGTCCACCCCCCATAATTATAATGCATTATGCAGCATGGTAAAACCACCAATATAAAGTACACAGCTTTGTTTAATCTGCATAAGGGCAGACTGATCCTTGATATGTCTGTGGCACTGTTTGCTTTTAGAAATTAGATTGTGGAGGGCGGTCCCCACATGTACTCTTTCCACTTGACAAATTCTGCAGTAGATTCACTTACTAGTTTCTACCATGATGTCTCGCCTGGCCTTTAGGAAGCTGGCTATTGTACCTATGTTCTGCCCTTCTTCCGGTGGATACGCACACAAAGCTCCCATACACTGAGTCAAGCTATTGGTCCATCAGGGTCAGTGTTGTCGGCTCTGACTGGCAGCTGCTCTCCAGGATCTCCGGGTGAGGTCACACTACCTCCTACCCAATCGTTTTACCTGGAGACGCCGGGGACCGAGCTGAGACCATCTGCATGCCAAGCGGATGCTCTGCCTCTGAGCCATGGCTTCTCCCCTGAAGCTTCTGTGGCTACATGCACACACTTGGCTCTGCCCTGGTATTAAGAAAAACCAAGCCATTGGGCTGAGCTCCCCTTGAAATGAATTCCTGGGCGCACCTCTTCGAACATGCTCCTCATCATCTCCACGGACGAGTACTCGGAAGCGATCTGCACGTCCATCTGCAGGGACTTCTGTAAGATCTCGCTCATGATCTCTGTCTTGATGAGGGAGTGGTGCTTGGTGAGGTCGCGGTGGAGCTCCTGCACTTGATCCTTCAGGTTCTGAATCTCTGTTTGGAGGACCTGAGACGAAACACGGTAAGGAAGCAAGTTTGAAGAACATAAGAGAAGCCAATGTTGGATCAGGCCAATGGCCCATCCAGTCCAACACTCTGTGTCACACAGTGGCCAAGAATACCAGGTGCCATCAGGAGGTCCAGCAGTGGGGCCAGGACACTAGAAGCCCTCCCACTGTTGACCCCGCCAAGCACCAAGAAAACAGAGCATCCCTCGCCCCAGCCTGAGAGTTCCTATCTATACCTTGTGGCTAATAATTATTTATATCCCACCTTCTTCTCCACAAAGGACGCAACGCCAGAAGACTGAAGAGCAGATCTTCCTCTCTTCTTCTTTTCTCTCTTTTGCTGTAGGATCTTTTAACCAACTCTTGACTGTGACCCCTTAGGCTAAAAGTGGAACGCCAAGGGCCTTTTGGGAGGGCTTCTAATGTCCTGGACCCACTGGTGGACCTCCTGATGGCACTGGTATTTCTGGCCACTGTGTGATACAGAGTGTTGGACTGGATGGGCCTTTGGCCTGATCCAACATTGGCGTCTCTTATGTTCTTATGTCCTTTGGTTCACGCCTTTGAGCATGCCCAGAAGACAGCAGAAGAGAGATCAACTCAGCCAGATCTTATGCAGCTGTGGCTAGCCAGCTAGCAGGCTCTTTCCCAGTTCCTCCCCTAGCAGAGGGAAGGGGGAGGTCCCGGGGAGTCTAGGAAGCTTTCTTGGTGGTGATGAGAGACATCTTGTTTTGGCAAAAGATAATTACTTAGTGGTAGTATTCGTGTTTACAGAACACCTGTCTTCAAGACATGGTCTGTGCCTTAATCAACAGTCCTGATAACAGTCCTGAAAGGTAGGCTGGTTCACAGCTGAGAGAGATTGGGGTCTTCAGCCTTTCCAGACCCCATGGCCCACCTTTAACCTTAAGCAGCAGCCAGGACCCACTGAGCTGCAAACATGTGGCAGGAATTTGTGTAATATTCCAGTCATGTGGCAGGAGGAACCAGTCTCTCTGAACCTGCATGTGTTAAAATAGGAATCGTCTCTTCCCTTTGCCTCACTGTCCTGTTGTTCCTCTCGGTATGTGTGCAAAGGGTGCATGGCACCTTTGCGCTCTCCGCACATGCTCTAGCAGCAGCAGGTTCTTTCAAATAGCAGCCCCTCCCTGAAGTGGCAGTTCTATCAGGGCTTGCAACCTGGCAGATAGGGCTCTGTGATCCTGACTAAGGATGGGCATGAACCGCGAACCGAACCATGAACAGATAGGCTGGTTCACAAACCAAAACAATTTATGAGACATTTAAGGTTTAAACCCCTGCTTTCTGCTCCTCACCACTTTTCGCGGGGAGCAGAAAGCAGGGGGTTTAAATGGCTCTGAGCCATTTCAGCCCGCTTTATGCTCATCATGGTTTTTGGCGGTGAACAAAAAAGGAGGGGGTGAAATGGCTGGGAGGCATTTTACCCCCTGCTTTCCGCTCACTGCAAAAAGCTGCAGCCAGCAGAAAGCAGGGGGTGAAATGCCTCCCAGCCATTTCACTCCCTCCTTTTTGCTCACCATCAAAAGCTGCAGTGAGCAGAAAGTTGGGGCTGAAATGGCTCAGAGCCATTTAACCCAAACAGCTGAGGAGCTGCTTCTCGTGAAGTTCAGAAAGCAGGAGTTTAAATAGTTTAAGCCCCTGTTTTCTGCTGTTCACGAACTGCCTCGCCATGACCTGCATCAATATTCATGGAAGTTTGCGGCAGCTCTTCAGTTTGTCAACACTGCTTCGGAAACCACGAACCGGCCACTTGAGACTCTAAATCAAGGCAGTTAATAAGGGTTAAAAGTCTATTAAATTAGATAAATACAGTGAATAAGTTTGACTTATTTGGTAATTGAATTTTGCAGGTGTTTTATGCAATAGTCCTTTCCTTTGCTACCTTGGACATGGCAATCGAAAGGCAGGGTTTAAGTCTAGCACATGAATGCATGTTGGGGCCCAGAGTCTGAGAGGTATGTTGAATCATTTGCTGCTGGAGCTTATGACATCCTCTTATTTTGTATTCAACACCCACAACAAACACCCAGTAGTTTTTCTGGTCCTGTTTGCAAGGCAAAAAACACCCACAAGGAGCAGTTAGACTTGAATCCACTAGCACCTTAGAGACCAACGAGAGTTTCTGGGTATATATAAACATTTGTCAAAACTCCCAACAGGTTCCCCCTTCTTATAACTGTGTGACATCCAGTCGGTGACCCTAGGACCTTGGGGTTCTCAAGGCATGAGATGAGCCCAGGTGGTTTGCCATTGCCTTCCTCTGCACAGCAACCCTAGTCTTCCTCGGTGGTCTCCCGTCCAAGTGGTAACACTTGGCCAAGCAGGAGCAACCCTGCTTAGCTTCCCAGCTCAGACAAGATCGGGTTAGTCAGGGCTACGCAGGCTGCTTCCCCCTCCTTACCCGGTACATATTCTCATAGTTGCGGCAATGTTCCGTGAATGATGTCTCTCCACCCTCAGCCAGCAAGACCTTGGTGCTGATGTAACGGTGCATCGTCGGCTTCCGGACAACGGAGCCTGTCAGAGACATCTTTTCGCAAGCCGAGGGGCAGCTGGACACCATCAGGGTCTTGGAACAGGGGCCTCCGGAGATCCTGAAGCAAGGTGACAGAGGGGAGTCATAAAAACATTAGCACACTGCACCCAGGAGGCAGGTCTGGGTGTCACCGCAAGGGACTCTGATTCAAATGCCATTCTTTTCTGGAGAAAAGGTGGGGGGGGGTTTTCAAAGGTGCTTGAAAGCTACATCCCCTGATTGGGAAATGCCACCCCCGCCATCCCGGGTGTGGTCCACTGAAGGTGTGTATAAGACACTTTGTATGTGGTCAGAGACACAGAGAAAATAATGTGCTTTCTGGGGGGGGGAATGGGTAGGTGGGTCTTTGCCTTTCTGGAATGATTTATAAATATTTACAGCTGGATCACACCCTTCCATTGGAGCTGCGGTGGCTCAAGTGGTTAAGACGCTGAACTGCAGGCTGTGGAAGGTCAGTAGTTCAGCAGTTCGAGACCTGAGTTGCCAAATGACGGGGTGAGCTCCCGTCTCTAGTTCCAGCTCCTGCCAACCTAGCAGTTCGAAAGCAAGAAATTGCAAGTAGATAAATAGGTACCACTTCGGTGGGAAGGTAACAGCGTTCCGTGCGCCTTGGTGTTTAGTCATGCCGGCCACATGACCACGGAAACGTCTTCAGACAGCGCTGGCTCTTTGGCTTTGAAACGGAGATGAGCACCGCAACCCTAGAGTGGGATTCGACTGGCTTTCGAGCAAGGGAACCTTTACCTTTACCTTTACACACCCTTCCACTAAGAAGCTCTGGGATGTCCACAGTGAGAAGAGTTTTCCAATTCTGTCCTTCTATCTGATCCCCCCCCCCTCAAATCCAAGAAGCTCAAAGCAGCATGCGAGGTGTCTCCGTTCCTCCTTTCATCCTCACAACAGCCCTGTGAGGTAGGTGAGGCTGAGAGTGAGCCCAAGGTCACCTAGTAAACTTCATGGCTGGGTGGGGAGTTGAACTTGGGTCTCCCAGATCCTAGCAGAGATGTTCCGCCAGGCTGTTTTGGTTGAGGGCGGCAACCGTTTCCCACGATAGCTGGCACTCCCCTCTTTCCTTCCATCTGACCCGCTTCAGCCTCCCCCTTAACCTGCCTGCAAGATGGAAGAAGAGTCCAGAGTGGGTTTTAGAATAATTACGGATGTCAACTGGACACTATTAAATTGGGATTGGCCGACTGATGATTTTAAGGTCTTAATGTTGTTTTGAATGACGTTATGATGATGTTTTTAACCTGTTGTAAATCGCCCACAGCCCTTTTGTTGGGATTCTTTTTAAGTTAGTCAGCAGAGTATTAAGAGACTGAGTCCATGGTGTGTATTAAAATATAAAAGTTTACTATAAACCTAACATGTTAATAAAACACAAAGTCTCTATATTTCTGAGGTAGTGCATATAGTCGGGGTTGACAAGCAGTAAGATATTCAAAAATGATGTTATGATGATGTTTTTAACCTGTTGTAAATCGCCCAGAGCCCTTTTGTTGGGATTCTTTTTAAGTTAGTCAGCAGAGTATTAAGAGACTGAGTTCATGGTGTGTATTAAAATATAAAAGTTTACTATAAACCTAACATGGAAAAAGGTACACAGTATATAAAATAACCAAGAGCTTATATGCCTACATCCTTACAGCTAAGCACAAAGTAGAATTTTTGCTCCCAGGACTCCACAGCTTAGAGGGAACATTGATGGAGACTGTTTCCTGCCGCTTTCACAGAGCAAAAGTTGCAAGAATTTTGTCTTTTTGCCCCTTCTGGAATAAAAGTCAGTGGCGTCAGATAACTGGGGGATAGGGGTGAGGAACCCCTGCGCTAGACCCCGACAGCTTCTAGCGCAGGAGCTAGAGTTGTGGAGAGGATCAGTGAAACGGAGGCTGGCGGAACTCCTGCTGATGGAAATGAGGCAGGCAAGGACTTCAGAATGCCACCAGATAATGGGTGCGGGCGCAACCCAACCCGCCTGACCGGCTCTCCAATCACGCCTCCTGCTTCGATTCCCCACTCACTGCTCAGACGTTTCCTCCAGGCCTGCAGACTACAGCTCCCCCAGGGCTCCTCCCTTCTAGCTGGTCTCCTGCAGCCCCGGAGTGCTTGCTACCTCCGTTTCTCTCTGGAGAGAGGAAAGGGCTCCTGGATGCCCACTGCTGCGGAGCCCATCGCTGGTTCTTCCCTCTGGTTTGGGAGCAGGCAGCCTTTTGCCTACGAGGGCAGCAGCTGTGGCGGAGCGAGGGGGGGGCCCCACCCGTGATCTCAATGCTCCTAAATATATCCAGTGCCAGGGAACAGTGCCCTGGACAGTTCTGTGAAATTCTGATAAAAATAGGGATGCACAGACTGCTCACTCAGGGGGAATGGTGGTTGAGAACCACTCTGCAGGTAAACTGGGGGCATGAAGACAGAGAGGCTTGCCGGCCGGGGCAAACAGAGTTGCTGGAGCAGAAGCCCAAGGGCAGACGTGCTGGGGAGCGCCTACGGCTGAGGAGGGCAAACAATGGCCCAGGAAGCACATCTGGCCCACAGGAGCTTTTCCTCCAGCCCCAGAGGACTTAGCAGTTGTTTGGGAGCATCAGCCCGCTGTGCTGCATCTTGTATCTTAGGTAGCCGAGCTTCTATCCTTATTTCTAGTGCATTATTTTCTACATTGAAAGGTAAAAGGTAAAGGTTCCCTTGCTCGAAAGCCAGTTGAGTCCGACTCTAGGGTTGCGGTGCTCATCTCTGTTTCAAAGCCGAAGAGCCAGCACTGTCCAAAGACGTTTCCGTGGTCATGTGGCCGGCATGACTAAACACCCAGGCGCACGGAACGCTGTTACCTTCCCACTGAAGCGGTACCTATTTATCTACTTGCAATTTCTTGCTTTCGAACTGCTAGGTTGGCAGGAGCTGGAACTAGAGGAGCGCCTACGGCTGAGGAGGGCAAACAATGGCCCAGGAAGCACATCTGGCCCACAGGAGCTTTTCCTCCAGCCCCAGAGGACTTAGCAGTTGTTTGGGAGCATCAGCCCGCTGTGCTGCATCTTGTATCTTAGGTAGCCGAGCTTCTATCCTTATTTCTAGTGCATTATTTTCTACATTGAAAGGTACCACCCTCATTTAATTTCCGTACAACACCTTGCACCTTCTAGGTGTTTAATAAATAAAAATAAGTCCAACTTAGCTCTGGAATGAGGCATGAGATAGTTATATGATTTGTATTTTTCCAGATGCAGCCTACACCTTTCCCCTTATAACTCTAAAAGGCAAAGGGCTAGAGGGTTTTTTTTTTAAATGAAAGCTGTGCAACAGTGCAGTGATGCAATAGAGCATTATAATGATATTGTGACCTGTCAATTACCCTCCCCCTTAAGTATGAAACAACGCCCTGGATGTGGGGAATGGTACCCACAGTGATTAAGGTAAGGAAAATGGTAGTAATGTAGACAGGACCTGCAAAAATGCATGCCTTCCTATCCACGTGACATCCATGTAACTGCAGTCTTCCCCAAAAGATCATACTAGCTGCAGCAAAGGAAAAACACTGAAGCAGGACAAGTAGAAGCGACACCATGTGGATGTTCCCATCAAAAGTGCTGCTGTAAGGAAGCCAAGGTGGAGCAAAACATCCATGTGGAAACAGCCCAGCCGTACACTTGTCAGGGATCTGCAGTCCGTTTGGCTCTCTGATGAGCATGTCTGTATGACACACTCAGCGCTCATTCACACATTACATTTTTAAGGTGTATGTTTAAACTCTGGCGTGTATACCTAAGATCGATAATGGGCGAATCGGCCCACTGACAGTGTCGCTTTCAGGTGGAGTTTCCATTACATTTGCAAGGGCGTTGGAGCCTCAGAGACTCGGGAAGGGTGTTTCTTTTCTTCCTTTCCTATCTTTGATCCAGCGCCAGCTGTACTGGGAAAGCTCGAAGGCAGCAGTGCCCAACCCGGACAACCTTCCATTCCAGGAACTGGCACTTGTAGCTAATCAGGACGGCTGCTTTGCCCTCTGGTGTCCCAAGGGCACCCGAGGTTGCGATTGGCCCAGCTCAAGGGTAAGTCATGCGGGGGGGAGGAGGAGGAGGATGACGACTGTACACCACCAAGCAACACACAGCCCTGGGGACCCATGATGGGATTTCTCTTTGTGTAATAGAATGGCCAGGGGTCGTTTCGTAGAAAAAGAGCTAGGAGAACTCATTAGCATAACTCATTAGCATATGCCACACCCCCTGACATCACCGGAAGTGTGTCATAAGGCCACACACCCCGCCCCCAACGGTCCCGGCCGCCACTGCCAGCCTTGCAGCTCCACTGCCGAGCCCCATGATGGGCCCG